GAGAGAGGGAAAGAGACAGAGAGACAGAGAGAGAGAGACAGGGAGAGAGACAGGGAAAATTATACTTGTATTTGCTCTTGTTTAAACATTGTAGTCTGGAACAAAATCACGTTCTCTTAAAGCCCAGCGCTGTGTCCTCAGAAACTGTGCTGTCATCTAAACATGTTTCTGTGTCTTTTAAAATCCATAAAAAACAGGTAGAGTTCAACTAAAACCTGCTTCAGACCTAAAAGTAGCTACCCAGTGGACAGGTTATTAGGAGCAAGTCAGATGTGTTGGACAATTCATTAAAAGTACATTAAATAATCAGAAACAGCAATAAATACATAAATGAAGGTGATCTCGTGAAAATCACTAGATTATCGAGTAAAAACCAGCATTTAGAAATAATCTGATTTGTCAGCTGGAGTGAAAACAGATCAATGGAAACAAGCGCTGTGTGTCCCTACGTGCAGTCGGAGGGCACGTCTGTGAAGATGCGGAGCAGGAAATCTCCCTCCTGGCCGCGTTTAAAGGTTGTAGGTATGACGACATACCGCCCCTCTTTCAGGTCGATTCGTAACAACACAGACCTCGAGTTGATGTAGACGCTCCCACCAACCTTCTGCTGGGTGGCGTGCATCCGGTAGGTCCTGTTTAACTCCACCTGAACACAGAGAGCAGCAGTTTTACCTCCCTTTACCTACAGACTTACAGAATAACCTCCAACCTCCACAGAGTGTTATATGCTAACTATAGCTGGAGACTTAACAGTATCTGGTCTATCTATTGTGTTTAAACTGGCACTTTACAAACAACACAACTTTGCATATATTAATACACTACGATATTGTCTACATTTAAATTTGTAGTGCATTATATACACGACAAACTGTTTTCCTTTCAATTGCCTACTTTAGGTGGGTTTAACTGTGATTAAAAAACCACATATGCATCATAATTGTGGTGTAAAAGGGTTATAACACAACAGACCTGCAATAAATCTCACATCCGTGAAGGTTACAATGTCTTGTTTACTCTTAGAGTTGAAAGGATTTTATTGTAACATCTATATCTTGAAAACACACAGACACACACACACGGTGAGCTGACCCTGTGTATGTCGAAGCCAATAAGCAGGTTCTTTCCTCGTCCGTTTCTCAGGTTGGCTCTGCGGTCTTTCTGCTGCAGACAGATCAGAACCTCGTCCTCTGGCTGCTTCACATCAAACATGTACTACAGCACAGAAATTAAATACACACATATTGTTGCAGTTGTTTCCTTATTCTTCTTGAGTTCTTGCTGAACATCAAATAACATTCTGAATAAAAGAGAAAATAACACCTGTGGGTTCTGGAGGAAGGTGCGTTTGTGGTTGGCGCAGCCGCCGGCTCGGTTGAGAAGCGGGTCGCCATGGCGGTGCCAGGAGCCCCACGTGAATGCCTCCGCCCAGGTCCTATGAATGATCTGGTAGGATGTGTTGATGAGATGACACAGGGTGAGGTCTTTGAAGTTAGCAATAAAGTCATCAAATTTCATTCTGCAAGAAAGGAGCGAAAGAGTGGTGGATACATTTACTGTATGATCAGAGATATTTATGATGAAAGAAAATACTCAAACAAAGAGAAAGACGTGAAATTAAAGCTGCAAGCAGCATAGATTGGGCCCTGGCAGTCCGCGTGTGTCGGGGTGTCATGCACCAGTGTATCACGTGTGGACCACGACAGTATATAAGTACATAAATCCTAAAAAAGGCAGTCCTAGAAGTTTGCTGCTGTGTGAGTTGAGGGACACATCCTGACCAAAGATAACTCCAAGATGCCTGATGGTGGTGCAGGATGTGCTGCCAATTTTCATACCTGTCGGTTCTGGAGGGTGTAACTTAGCCAATTTGTGACGCCCATGTACAGGACAAAAAGCATACTTACATTTTTAAAAGTTTCAAGAGTTTTCACCCAAGCAGTTTCAATTTATTTGACAACTATAGTTACTAAATACTTTACAGATTAAGATTTGTCCTTTAAATATGTGATAATCTTACAAAATTGTTATTGTTAACGATTAAACCAGTGGTTCTGAACCTTTTTTGCTGGTCGTCGTGTTGGCGCCAGGAGCCATGCGTCATGGCTTCCTCCCAGATCTTACGGAAACTCAGGTCGGATGTGTTGATGAGACGACACAGGATGATGTCTGTGAAGTTAGCAATGAAGTCATCAAATGTCATCCTGCAAGAAAGGAGAGAAAGAGGCGTGGATAAGTAGAAAATATGGTTTATTTACAGTAACAGGAATTTACTGTCAGAGATATTTATGATGAAAGAAAATAGAAAACAAAGAGAAAAAAGTATAAATATGTATATGTTAAGAAATTACTGATTAAATTATCTATTAAATTAACAAATCAACACTTGAGAGATGGAGAATGAACAAACAACAGATGTCTGAGGGTGCAGGCACATCATGTTTCCAACAAACAGCTAAAACTCACCAGAACTCTCCATCATCCTGCACAGTGAAGACGATCCTCTCACCCTCACTCTCACTGACCTTCTGCCACTCTTCAGAGCTGCAAACAGGCAGACAAAAGTCAGTAGTCTTCTTTTGATAATAAAACATGGATGGCCGACGTAAAACACCAAAGACAAATTACATTAAACTTAATTTTCACTCCCTCCCTCCCTCCACACCTCTTCCTCACCCGACGCTCCAGGGCCCGTTCCACTCTCCCTGTCCCCAGGGGGTTCTCATCCGGATCATGGTGAGTTTGTCTGACTTGAAGTAGGCCAGCAGGCTGTGGTCCAGGATCACCCTGCGGACGTCGGTTACTGTGTATGCACGGCCCTTCACCAGCCCGCAGTCCAGCCTGGCCTTCATGTCTGCTGCACTGGTTGCCTGGAACAACACAACAACACTGGTTCAGTCTCTAAATCATTCAGTCATTCCTAAATCCATTCATCTGTGTTTGTGTTCGTCCTCTCCTAACCCGGATGGAGCAGCTGATGAGGCCTCCTCTGTTGTGGACTTTCAGGACTCTATCAAACAGCTTGTCGCGTTTCTCTTCATCTTCTTTGAACATCTTCTCCCTCAAGTCCATTGGCTCCGACACGCCCCCGGTGAAATCCATGAGAGCGTCGGCCACGTTGCCCTCGTCCAGCGCCTCATAGCAGCCGTACATCCTACAAACACACACACAAGCAATCATTAGTAATTACATACAGATATTTGAATGAATACATTTTATTTATGCTGATTGTTTCCTTTATGTCCAGCATCAAATTTATCACCTGCAATTAAAAAAGCATTGGCTATCAACATGAGGACTTAAGTTCAACTATGTAAATGTGCCAGACTCTCCACATGGTGATAAAACTGAACTGAGTACACACACACACACACACACACACACACAGACCCATAGACACACACACAACAGATAAACCCTGGAAGTGCTTACTTGGCGTAGGCCTTCTCCACCAGCGCGCTCCAGAACATGTTTTTGACGGTGGAGTGACAGTACACCAGCTCTCCGTTTACCGTGGGCAGCCGGTCATCGATCACCACGTCCACCCACTCACCGAACCGCCAGAACCGGAAGTGGAAGATCCCGGCGTAGGACTCTTTTTTTTCTTTATCCCACTCCTGGTCCTTCCAGTCAGGAATCACCTGGAAAAACAACAAAGAAAATGAGTTTGGTAACCATCTTCTCTAAGCTCAGGTTTCATTTCAACAACAATTACTCTTTTTTTAGGTGTTTATTAGTTATTTTTTTGGCCTTTTCATGGCTTTATTGGATAGGACAGCTGTAGAGAGACAGGAAAGGTGGGTAGAGAGAGAGGGGATGACACGCAGCAAAGGGCCACAGGTCAAATTCGAACCCAGGCCTCTGCAGCAACTCCATATATGGGTCGCCAGCTCTACCGACTGAGCTAACCGGGCACCCAATTACTCATTAAAAGGTACAACAACAGCAGGTCTGATCCTGCTCTTCAGAATATCCTGTATTGTCTGTTATGTGGACCCAGACAACAAAGCCAAGATTACAAAATCAACTTCACAGTAAAAAGAGACAATGAAACATAGAAACTGTCTCTTGTCTCACCTTCTGCCATAGTGCCTCTCTGGAGGCCAGACTGCAGCAGGCGGCTACGAACCAGCAGTTTCCCAGCTGCCTTGCGTGCAGGTCGTGGGCACTAATGCCGTCCACAAACAGATGGGGGTCGCTGCATAATTCCTAGAAGGATAAAGATGATTGAATCACTGTTAATCTTTTTTTTTTCTTTCAAATAAACTGTATTATGTTTCTGAGTACTTCCAAGACTACAAAGAATCCAACAGTCCAGTTGCATTTGGAAATATCAGGTCTAAAACAAACACCAAGACAAACTAAAGAAACAAATAAACCTTTCCAGCCAAAGGTCACTAGATCAGAACACTTTCCAGGTCTGTTCTGAGCAATATTTTATATTTCAGTCCCACAATCCCAGTAGTCCCAATTCCAACAAAAACACCGAAGAAACAAAACAAATTCAATTTGGCTTTGCTCATTAACTAATAGAGAAGTTTTCTGCAAATGATTCATCAAATATTTGTTCAAAGAGCAAACATATATTCATGTGCACATGCAGACACACACATTCAATACATTCCTCTCCTTATTCAGTCCATGTAAACTCTCTTTCTTTATATGCATTGCATTCACTGTGGTGCAGCAATAGTAATAGTAATAGTAGCTGTTGTATGATTATTCTTCACTTTGTTGGCCGTAGAATGTTCGTATTTTGCAGTATTTCACTGTTGTTGTTTGTCTAATGGGATAAACAGTGAGGTTGCCTGTAAAGCAGACAATGTAGAGAACAATTCTTTTTTCTCACCTTAGGCCTTTTCCAGGTGACTCTGCCGATGCGTTTCTTCTGGTAGAACAGAGACTGGTTGGACGCTGGGAACAGAGGGTCTTCAAACAGGATCCCATACCGCTGGAACTGCATCCTCAGTGCAGAGAAAGACTGGCCCCCGAACGGAACCACCACCTCCCTGCAACGACAGCATCAGACAGGTTTATCAGGGCTTTTTGTACATTGTGCACCAAAATGCATTAACACAATTACATAAAGGAGAAAAATCTTTTATTACTGTTTAATAAAAAGATCACACAATTAACTTGTCGATTACCAAAGTCAGTAAAACTTATTTACCTCTTAGTGGCAGTCTTATTTTTTTCTAGCAGCTCTTTTAACTCTGCTTTAGTTTAATAACACCAGTCTACATGCTAACAATGTTATAAAAGAGACCACATTAATTTTGACAGCTATAAAAAACATAAACAGACAGAATTCTGGTGTTTCTCTGGGGCCTCAGACAGATACTAGAAGATTTCAATCTAATCGTTAACAATGCAGTTCTAAAAGATCAATAAATTTGGTTACGGAAAAAAACATCTCCAGAACATTATACTCAACTGCAGAACCTTCACTTCATGCATTATTAGCAAACAACAAGGTGCGTTTAAGCTTCTATCTCACTCTCTCTCCCCGGATCTCTGGATTAGGGTTCCTATAGTTTAGCCTAAATGTAAATAGTTACTTTTTTAACTCAAATATGTAATCTCCCAGTAGTGGGTTGCATAGTGTCAAACAGGTTTTCATTTGCATTGGAGTTTTTTTTATTATTCGAACAGTTAGAAATAAAAAAGAAACAGTAACTCTTCCAATGATTAAAAGAATAACGATGTGATATATACATATTATGTAAAAGGAACAAAAAAACACCCAAGTCTGCCACAATGGTTGTTAAGTCTGGGACAGTCGAAAGTAGAATTCAGGACAGTTGCAGGACTCTGAGCATAAAAGTTAATAGTGAACCCTGAATATCAGAGGAAATGGAAATATGAATCGATACACCATAGCTTCAAAAATATATATATCTGTTGGTGGTGGAAAGAATGAAAGGCCAAAGGTCAAGCAAACCGGTACTTTTACACTGTGTGGCATCAGATTGGATATGGAGGAAAATCACTGCATCATCTCCTTTATTTACTGTAAGAATCTTGAGCTGCGTAATTCCAGTAGCTGTAAAGACACAATCACACTCAATTTTCATAAAGACATCAAAACTCCCTGACAGGGTTGTGCATGAACGCGTTAAAAGAATGCGTTCATTGAACGTACTCATGTTTTTGGTGAACGATGAACTGAACATAAACTAACGAACGTGAGCAAGATTTTTTGGGGGCTTTTAGCCTTTATTGAATAGGACACATGTAGACAGGCGGAAAAGAGGGGAGAGAGGGAGACGGGACACATGCAGCAAAAGCCTGATGACTGGAATCAAACCTAGGCTGCTATGGTAAGGACTCAGCCGTAGTACATGGGGGGCGTGCTCTACCAGGTGAGCTACCAAGAAGAAGAACAATCTCCTGATGCTCTTCACATTGTGGTGTGGATAAGAATTAGTATGATATCCTTGTCTTACATTACAGTACATTTCTTGTAACAAAAAACATATTGTTTAAAAAAGAACACTCCCAAATGATGCACACACACACACACACACACACACACAATAGTATGAACATAAACTATCCCACCAGTCTGGTGACAGGATGACAAACAGAAACTCACATTTGACTCCAGATTACCAGCAAAGCAAACACATGAAGGAAACTGTATGTCGGCACAACTAAAATATTTTGCTTTTACCTTTGTGATTTGTCCATCTGGATTCAGACCAACTCCTCCAGGTCAGGAAATATTACCTAGAGATACAACCACAGTAATCACACAGCTGTGTGTGTATTCATCATTCATCTGTTTTTGTACATGATCTGATTAATAAATGTTAATAAATAATGCTTTGTTTGTGATGACCAACGTTGTGCCACCACTTTATAATCCAGCACCTTTGTCGTGAAGGTGTATTTTCTGTTTTCTGTGGTGAGAGAGAGCACTGAAAAGACAGAAGAGAAAGAGTTATGTTTGTAGAAGGGTTACTTGTTTTCTATCATTCAAAAATAAAGAACAGTGTTTCTGTTTATTTAAGTATGAGCTCTATGACATTTTTGGGGGTGTTTTTCCTCTTGGGGGGATTACGCCCATGACTTTGCTTGCAAGTTGCCACCGTTATATCGTCTCCAAACAATATCTAAAATTAATTTTGAGGTCTGTTTCTGTGCAAGGGATACACCCAATTTGATCAGGTAATTACAAAAATCTGGCCAACTCCTCACATTAAAGCGGGAAATTATTTTAACTCAAAACAATTTTACATTTTATCTAAAACTCAGTTTTGTAAGTTAATTAAAGATTCTTGATTAAGCAGCTTTTACAAGTAATTTTAAGCAACAAAAACATTTCGGATTAAGTACATTTTACAAATACAAAATCAAGTGTCACTTTTTTTCTTACTAAAGCTACTTGATCAAGAATGATTTTTTAACTCACAAAACTGAGTTAGTTTTACTTAAAGGTTTGACGCAGTCAGTTTGAACAATTCTGGTTTTGCAGTGCATGCATATAGGTGGATGAAAATGTCACTACTATTCAACTTCTTTGAAGAAAGCAGACCATTTAATAACAGCTGGAAAGAGAAGTTTCCTGGCAGACTTCAGGAGACTCCAGATGAAGCACTAAAATTGCTTTAACTAACTAATTAAGACTTTACCTGGAAATATGTTTGGTTTAACGTCCGTTTCTCTTCTCCAAGGAGGATTTCGGTTTTTTTAAACCCTTTTGTTGTCAGGTTTATGTGCGGAGATCTTCAGCTGGAGTTCAGAAACAACACTCAAAGTAAAAGCACACACTCACAGGAGGAGCTGCAGCCGACCAAGTACCCGCCTCCACTCCTCTGTAGGCTCCAGCGAGAGCATGCGCTGTTTGTCCATACGAGATGATTCTTAAATGTTGTCCTTTACTATAAATGCAGATGTGGAATAAATCTGTTGTTACCACCAACCTGACCAGCTCCGGGAGATTCATTTAGACAGGAGATACCTGAGGTCACAAGTACACTATCTGAGAAGTGGAGACAACAGTTACGCACCGGAGAGAAAACAGTTCACCATGAACCCAGACGCACAAGAGAGAGCGCACAGTGAAAGCATCCCAAAACAACGAGACATCCGCAAGATAGACACAAATGAAAGAGCAAACAGAGGTTTACAGATAAAAACAACAAGTTCTCTTTCAAATCAAACATTTTAATCTAAGTGTAAAGTATTGTTTTTCTCATTACACAACAAATATTACAGGCACTGCTATAGACAATTGCAGATGAACATTGGACAACACAAAACAATAACACAATAAAAGCAATATAATATCATTAGTGTAATATTTTAGGTGAATTGAGCCTTGAGATGGGGCAGATTGCTATTCTTTATGAATTCACCCCTCAGTGTGAAACAAAGATTTAGGAGATTACAACTGTTAGAAATACTGTTGGTAACAGAAATTAAGGTAATACAGTAATAAATAACCTTTACACTAAGATATTGACATATCATCTTTATTGAAAGCATTTTACATTCAAGTACACAGATACTGCAAAACTGTATGCATTAAGTATCTTTCCCCACAGGTGTTACAAAGGTTCACACCTGTGTGTGTTCTCATGTGGACGTTCAAGTCACTTTGATTTCTGTCATTTTTCCCACATGATTGGGATGAATTTCTCCCCTGTGTGCATTCTTATCATTGACTTGATTATTTTTTGAGTGTTGAATGCTGACAACAGACTGAATCTTTTTCCACAGGTGTCTGCTCACCTGTGTGGATTCTCATGTGGTCATTCAATCTTGACTTTCACAAATCTTTTCCACAAATGTCACAGACAACGTTTTTACCTGTCTCAGTATTACCTTGAAGTTAGGTTTGGATGCTTTGTTACTGTGAATTCTGCTTTTCTTACATTGCTATAACTATATACTATATAAACAATTAACAGAGCAGCTTGTAGAAAAGCACACACAGAGGGAGTGTGACTTCATCCTCTGGTCGAGAGGCCATTATTCCACTATATCTTTACCTAGCAAATAGTTGTTTGCTGCTTTATTAATGGTCTAAGTCTCCTATATGTAACCTTTCAGTTTGCAAGCTTAAACAACTGAGAACTGCTGCTGTACGGTAGCAGGTGGCTTTATAAAAAATTGCCACTGCTTCTGTGATGCGATTAATCTTTAACATCATCAGAGGAGAGAACTTCCACAGCGTCATGTGAGAAACTGCACTTTACACCTTGCCAGAGGAGAATGTAACACCAACACGTCCATCAGACAAGTTGTGTTCACACACGAAAAGGAAAACTCGGCTGGATTCAGAAGGTTTACAGGCTGTTACAGGTAAATATCACCGACTCAGACTGTACATAGGTTCTGACTGAGCGTCCACATATAAAGGATGCAGCTGACTTCTCTGTTACTTTAGCACAAATCTCATACATTAAATGGCAAAGCTGTAAGTTTAAAGGCTTTTTGTTTCCACTGTGAACAGATTAACAATACCGGTCCAATGTTTTCAGAACCACAATGTTCTGCTCGTCATACTGCTTTGTATATGTGGGTGCTGTTCTGTGTGAGCATGACTTGTGAAACTCTGCAGGAGTGTTTCGCTAAGTGACAATCTTAGAATTTAAACAGCTGAAATTAAAGGTTAAATATACAAGATTTTAAGATTAATATAGCAACAAACAACTATTTGCTATGTAAAGATATAGTGAAGTCCTGGTGTCCTGAACAGAAGATGACGTCACACTCTCTGTGTTGTTCTGTTCATTGTTTATAGAGCCGGGACAGTTCGGGCATGCGAGTCCCTCCATGAGGAACTGCAACGGCTGTCGCTTTACTCAGAAATAAGGATTCATTTTGTCAGAACCAGAAATGGTGATTGTTGGAACAGTGAAAAGACGAACAAAGATGGTTTTGTTGAGTTTTATTGTGTTTCTGTCTAGTTTTGATTAATTTACAATGTTATGATGGCTGCATCTGGTGCGAGCAATAAGTTGATATTAGGCTGTTAACAATCTGAAGCCTGCAGTGGTAATGGTTCCTGTTAATGAAGTCTGGCGGCTGTAGCACCGATTTGTTTTGGTCTAAAACGCTGGTGCTCTAGTGCAACATTCAGTGGCAGTGAATGTTGAATAAAACCTTTAAAGTGAATTTGACATTTTAAACATACATTTTTATATAAAATGATAGTTTCACTCCCTTCCAACAGTGACAGGCCTGACAGCTTGTTGTCACCTGATAGTCCACTATTGTTAGTCCACTATTGTTAGTCCATGATTTTTTGGCCACTTGAGGACAGCTGAACAAACATATTAAGGGCTTATTAAGTGGTAAAAACAGGCAAATATGTTAGCAAACAATTATCTGATTACACATCCAACAACCACAGAGCATCATTAGTATTCATTTAGAGATGTGTTTGTGTGAAACTGATGAAAGTAGGTTTAATATTCACTCTCCTTTTACCTCTGTTGGATCTCTAGTGAGAAAAGTATCTGTCTCTTTAGCTGCTAGATGTTCCACTTTCTCTAATTTTGACAGCTTTTTGAGCCAGTAGTAGTGGGTTTTTAACAGAGCTATGTTTGCTGGAAATGAGGTTGATATGAGCAGGGTTTGCATGTTGTAACGCATTTTAATTTAATCTGTTAACTGTTTAGTAATATAAGAATATTGTTTATTGTTGTCACCAGTCCTGCTGTGACTCACAGACTCATTTACTGCACTTGAACCATAAAAACACAGCTGACTCTTATTTCCTGTGCAGGTTCAAAATGTTAACCAGGTGGTTAACATTCACAGCTTTTCTGGCTTGCTCAGCGAACCCTGAAAGAGCAGCTATTACCGTCGCACCGACCTGCATGGTCAAAGGTCATCCAGAGGTAGTGCTGACTTTAAACTGTGGTGACGGAAAGAACGCAGGTCAGTAAAGAGGATCAGTATGGAGTCCTGCCTTCACATCTGAGCTATTAGCTTTTTCACTCAGTATCAATACTGCTTCACAAGGAGTCCTGAGAACGCTCGTTTCCAATGTGTAATGTTTATGAAATTCAGATTAATCCAATTATGGTGAGAAATGCCAACTAGAAACTGGAAATACGCCTTTCAGACATCTTCTGATCAGCAGATCAAGGAAGTTCTGGTCAATGTAAAGCTTTGATAAAATATTCTCCATATTTTATCTCTCATAGACACTCTTATGTAAGTCAGATGAGTCCCTTTGAATATTTTTTTTTTTTTATTACTTACTTATTAAGTTTTCTCTATTTTTTTTCTTTAGATGTAGTTTCTCCCTTTATTTTATTTTATTTTCCCTTAATGTGGAAAATAAAGTCCTTTTCAAAGAAAAATTATCAGATTATCTTGAAAAATGTACCTTTTGTTTTCTCGAGATAACAAGATAAATTTACTCAAGAATCTCCGAATAACACATTTAAAAAACTAACTATAAGCACGGCATTCTCGGCTTCCCTAACACAAAATATCTTTATCTTTTCATTGAATTTGTCACCCAACACACTGTTCCTTTAATTCAATCAGCATACACATCCAGCTCTATAATTCCCCCCTCTAACTGCTCCTCCGCTTTTATTTGTAGGTGTGGTCCAGTACTGGCACACCCCCTTTGGAGACCTTCAGACCCCTGGTTTCCACAGTGAGCTGGACCCTGTCTTTATGCACCATGACGGGAGCCTGGTGGTCCCCAACACCAGCATTCTCCACAGTGGCCTCTACTACTGCCTCCTGCAGCACACAGAGGGAACTACACTGTGGCCGTACCAGCTCCATGTTGGTCATAACGACCACAAGAACCCAGAACACAGTAGATATGAGCAACGCGGCAGCTGTGAGTCCAGGTCCAGGTCCAGGAGGGATGTTGGGTCTGAGGAGGAGAGGCAGGCAGGAGTCTCAGATGGGGAGTTTGCAGGAGCTGTGGCGGCATCAGTGCTGCTGACGTTTGTGTTTGGCTTCAGCGCTGGAGCTCTGACCAGGACTCACGTTCTCAGGTGTGTTCAGGGCCCTCACATCCCAGCTTATATTCATCCTGTCATCAGATTAATAAAATCTAATATTCCTGTATACTGAATAGCAGATATCTTGTGTAAATATTACTTCCACTACATTTTCCTCTTAGGTGTTTAGGGGCAGTCTCTACCAGGTTGCGATCACCATGGAAACAACGATGTCAAACTGACACACCTGAACACGCCTCTGAGGTCAACATGACAACCATCCCACCCACGTACGACGACCAGGCTTTTGAGGCGGAACAGGTGTGGGACGACAACTCTGTAAACATGGAGACGACAATTTCATCGACAACCTCATCGCCTCCTGCCAAACCTCAGAGGAGCTTCAGGAATAAACGACAGGAGGAGCAGGAAACCACTGCCTATCTGGAGGGATGTGACTACATGAAAGAAGAGGAGAGAAAGGTGGAAGAGCGGGAGGAGGAGGTAGTGGCAGGTAGAAGTCTGGAGGAGGGGAATAAAGGGTGTGATGGGGAAGCAGAGGAGACATTAGGAGAAGATGAAGGGAGTAAATCTGAAACAGATGAAGAGGAGTGCAGTGAGAAAGGAGAGGAGAAAGATGGAAGAGAGAGGAAAGAGGAAACGAAGGAATGGAGACAGGAGAAAGAGGTGGAGGAGACAGGTGAACAGGAGAGCAAGGAGGAAGTAGAGGAGAGGAGAGGAAGTGAGGAGGCGGAATGCAACAAGGAGGAAGGGAAAGATGAGAAGAGGGAGGAGGAGAAAGAGGGAGATGATGGAGAAAAGAAGAAAAGAGAGGAAGATGGAGAGACAGACATTTGCAGTGAAGACGATGAGACAGGCAGTAAACAGGAGGACGCAATGAAAAACGGCATCACAGAAGGAGGAGGAGGAGAAGCAGCACCCAGCCGGGGCCGTCGCAGCCGTGTCATTCGTCTGTACCAGTATGACGAGGACGGCCAGCGGTACTGCCACCTTCCTGCCCCCGAGGCGCCACGCCCAGCCCCCAGACTCAAACAGCGCTCCGTCTCTCTCACACGCCTCAACGCCATCATGGCTGCCGCCTCAGCAGGGCCACTGGACACGAGAGAGACCGGGAGGGAGGGTACAGAGGAGAGGCCACACTTCCACATGAAGATTTAAGAGATATTATAGAGGGTGGACATTATAATGACCACACCACGACAGAGCGGTCGCAGTGGGAACCGATGGGCTTGAGGGCCGAGAACCACAGAGACATCAGGAAGTAACTGCTGAGCACCGCCCTACACAGAAACACAGAACAGTCCACTCACTGTCAGAAGTTAGGTTTCCACCCAGTCGCCAGTTGGTAATAAAAAGTGATTAATACATAAAAATGTTTCATCTTCAGACTGAAGCCTTGTATTGTTCCACCATTACTCCTTTGGCAAAAACAGTAATTGTATTTGCAGACAAGGTAAAGCAGTGAAAATCTTCTAAATAAAACAAACTTTAAATTTAGGTTTAATTTAAATGCTTTAATGCTGCCCCCCCTCCCACCTTCTTTAATGCTTCCATTTACTACCTATACCTTTGCTTTTAAAAATACTCTCTGAAACATTGTAATCATTAAGTATGTACTATGTAATATTGTTGATATAAATATAGCATTTTTGGGATACAAACATTGGTTCCATCAGGATTGTTTACTTGTGTTTTTTGCCCTTTTATCGATTAGCACTCATAATGTCAGGTTTCAGTGACATTCAGTGTTATAATCCAGCAGCTGGCACTTCATGATGATGTGTGATCTCCACTCGACAAATACCTCTCAGTGTATTGTGTCTATTGTAGAAGCCCAGTTACTGCTTGCATTACAAACTACTGTGATACATGTCTGTCTGTATAAAGTTTTTGGTGAATAAAACCTAGAAGTTCTACCAATTATTAAGAATGAGTCTGTTATACTTTCATTTCCTTTTTATTACTGTGAAAACATCTACAAACAAGACAAAAATTGGGAAAAAAAATAATTATCCAGAAAACGTAAATTCCACAGCTCTTCTCTCTCAGTTCATTTTTTTTGTTTGTATTCTTATTTTAAGAACTTCCCCCCACATTTCCTTTTCTCCAAATTACCACTATAAAAAGTCTACTCAGTGAGAGAAAGGCTTCTTGACCACAGTTGGCTGACGATGCACAGAGACGATCTCTGATGGGATGTGTGTGTACCCAGAGTCCACATGGATGATTCTGTAGTCCATATAGGTTTGGGTTTGTGTGTGACAATGGTTTGAGTCTATCAAGGTGTTGGTTAGATCTGCAGTTTTCCTTTTTTCTGAAACGATAAAGAGATTCTTCCTGTGTTTGTGGGTTTTGTTTTCTCTCCCTCTTTCTCCTTTTTGGTGTTGCGACGTCGTCTGCTACGATGACGACCAAGTTTTCTGCCATTCCACAAACTCGTCTAGCAGCACTGGCCCTGCAGACAAAACAAGGACATCAATAATGTTTATAGGAGCTCCTGCACTTTCCGTGGAGATCAGAACAACTTTAAAGAATCTTTAAAAATATCTACATAATGTAACTAATACAAGTATAAAGTGTAAGTTTAGGTATAAGTATGGAGTAGTGGCATGTAATAGTAATGATCCAATCACATGATGGAAACAGGCTTACATAATAAATGTTAACTCTCATTCAGATTCACGTGAAATAAATTACCTTTAACCACAATGCATCAGTGCTTTGTTCCAGATTGTTATTCTGTACTAATACTGATAAGTATTTCAGTACTTGAATCAGCTTGCAATCGTTTCTTTGAGTCTGTAAACGGTCGTGGCAGACCTGACCTTTGAGGGACTGGAGAGTCTAAATGGAGGAAGCTATCATATTAGCGGTGTTACATCATCCAGGGTCACATAACCCTTGCTCTGCTGAATGAGAGGCGACACCGAGAGATTTCTCTGCATCCGCGAGTGGAAACGGCCACAACAAACAGTAACAAGCTGGACAAGTTGTCACTATAGCTGGATTTATACTTTATGTAAACGGTTGAGCTTTTTGATTTACGCTACATTACCCACAAATCTGTGCTGTATCAGCGTGGTTTCATTCAGTAACAGAGAGAGGGCGGATAGTGGTGAGCAGGTTTGTAGCTCTGCTAGATGGGAGTTACTAAAAAGAGTTTGCAGGTTTCAACAGGTTAAATACGTCTTTAAAAAGACCAGTATGAAAGCTTTAAGCCTGGCAATTTAAAGGACAAAGGATATGAAGTCAAAGTCAGAGTGCCTGAATTACTTGCAAAGTAAATACGTTTATTCACGTTCAACCGTTCTGACTTCATGTGTTTTCTTGCACACGGTGCAGCGAGCTAAAAGTGCTGTTCAACAGAACTGAAGTGTTAAAAACAAACTTTTATTTTGCATTATTTGTTCTTGGTTTCACGTTGGTTTGTTTTGTAGTTGTTGCACAAGTTTCCACTAAAGCCGCAGCACTGAGCTGCAGCTGCTAATATACTCACAAGCTCCGTCTTCATCATAGTTACTGAGGTCTGTGTTGATGGTCCTGCTGAACTCCAGAACGTTATACCACTGGTCCTTATTCATCCCCTTGTACTTGGACTGCTGTAGGAGAGACACATGGGAGGTGGGGTCAGACAGGAAGTAACAGAGAGAGGAGGTGAGGGCTAAGATAAACTACAGGTGACACACTCACACACACACACACACACCTCCAGGAACTGGTGGAAGACTGGGAAGAGAGGCCATGTTCTCCCCAGCAGCAAGGCCAGCATGGATTTAGCTGTATCCATATCCAAACTCCTCTGGTCCTTATCCTGATGACAAACACACAAACACACAAAGATTTAGATCCTCTGACTCCAAATCCAGAAACAAATCCAGAGTGCACTTACACACTGAACCACTAGAGGTCAGCATAAAGCTACAGGGTTGTTAAGCTACTCTTTAAACAAAAAACTAAGAAAAAAAACTCACTCTGGCGAAGTCAAAAGCATATCTGTAGATGTTTTTGAAGGCTACAGTGTCATTCAGCTCATTGCGCAGGTAATCCAGTTTGCTCTGTAACCGCTCTGTGCAGTCACACCTGCAGGTTGGTGAAGGACACACACACAGACACACACACAGACACACACACACAGACAGAGAGTTAGTTCACAGTCAGCAGAATAAAAAGGTATAGATACATACAGCTTAAACAAAGCACTACACTGTGCATCTGCTTATACGACGCCTGTAGTTCTTATGTGATGGGATAATCAATAATCTGACTTCTTCTTCCTTTTATTAAAAACAAGCAACAGAAACCTGAAAGGGAGAAAAGTAAAGTGGTCTTACTGTAATAACGTCATTCCCCTGAGCCACTCGTCTTTTGTGAAGAACCCCATATTTGCTGCTTCTAGATGCCAGGCTAAGACTAACATGATAATCTGCAAGAAAGAAAAGAGACAGGAGGTTTAATCTCTGCTAATGTTTAAATCAGTCAGAAATGGAAATATTCAGAAGTTGCATTTTTATGTAAAATGAGAGAAAGAGCAGCATTATAACGAAGTACTGTAGTTCTGAAGAGAGGCAGTTTCTAACGACGACCTGACGATCAGACGGTTCTGTGTGTGTGAAGTAACCATTAGCACTCAGAAACCAAACTTTAATCTTGTTCATCTTTCCAAACGCAGAAGAATATAAACTTCATACCATCTTAATTAGAACAGGTACAAACTTATTTTTTATGTACCGTTTTCATAATTGTAGCAGCCATTATATTCAAGAGAGGTGTTGTTATTGTACATTATCTCACTCGCTCCTTCGAAGTGTATTCAGTCCCTCCAGAAAAACGCATTTATGCGATCGCATAATTCAACGCATAATCAGCCAAAGTCCGCACATTTATGCGGGGCCGCATTTTTTTCAAATACGCTGCACTTTCGCCGCATAAATTGCCGATTTCCGCGCAATATATGCGGGGCTGACATGATTTCATAATCCCCACATTTATCTGAGCAGAAAGTTGAAAAATGTTGCGTTTACTTCACTCAAGAGCAGCCATTTTCCCCTGTTGCCATGGGAACGTTATGAAGTGACGTAATTACGCGACGTGAACATCATCGAAAAGCTTCCCGCAATTTCATCGCATACTGAACTGATCAATGATTGTTTCAACTCTCCATGTCACATCTATACCTCTCCACTATTTGTTAATAGATCAAGTTCATTGCTGGTTTTGATCTTTCTTGGTGTGATTTGTTGGACAATAAGCTGAATATCACTGAATTACTAACAACTACAGTGCTCAAACAGCTAAATGAAACATTATCTACGGATGACTGACAGCTGTGTGATGGTTTTCTGGAGATCTCCACCTGTGTACAGGTACGAGCTGATTGGCCACACTCGCTGCCAAACATCACTCTGATCACAAACCTCCGGCGGGACGACAACAACAGGAAGTGGAGGTGTGTCGGTGACACCCAGGGAAACAAACAGGGGCCGGCATTTCTGGACTTCACATCCTACCTTTTGTTTGAAAATCATCCCATGACCAGAGTGTGATTCATTCAGCTGCCACTGATTGTCCCGTCCACCTGCCATCAGCCGCATAGCGCATCGTGTGGCTCTGCCAGTCATGGTAATCATAGTGGAATTCTTCACACGGAGAGGGAAACCCAGAGGAGGACAAAAGCATTTGCAGCTGACATCGAGCTCCAGGAAATGACTGTTGACCACTTTGATCTGTTCTTGTGTTATTTCTGAATTCAACCAGGGTTTCTTGACTTTCTGAAATGAGCCATTAGGGAGGAAACAAACTCCTGCACATTGGTCTTGATTAGATTTTGGTTATAGAATTTATCAGTAGGACTTTTTAATAGAGCTTGAAGTGACAGTTTGCAAATGTATATCAATAATAATTCAGTAGTTCCGTCAGAACAGAACAAAAAAAAAGTTGCATGACAAGATTTCTGTATTGAGAGCTCAGGTGTGGTCGACTCGGCTGTCACATTTTAGAGTCCTGACTTTGGTGTAACAGCCGAAACTGTGAAATGTGGCCTTTAAGAATGTGCTAGATATGAGGAGAAGGAGTCATCAGACGTCTGGAGTTAGTTGAGCGGTCACCGGCGTGAATGGATGGGTCTGTTGCTAGAGCTCCTGTTTTTCCTTTTGTTTACTCACCTCAACAATGTAACGTTTAAACTACATGTGCCTGTTTCTGTTCCTGTGTGATAAGAATAGTAGCTGCACAACCGGGCTTGATAAGGGATTGATGTAATGTTATTTTAGTAATAAACAAGGTATTGTATGGAAACCCTTAGTACAGCGTGGCTGTGAGTTATGCTGTGTTGTCTTTTTTCCACTCTTCTAGAAGGCTCAACACATACCCTAATCCACATATGCCCTCTTATTGTGATTAAACTTGTGATTTCTGCTGTTAAATTTGGGCGTTTTAATTAAGGCCTTATGGAGATTGACTCACTTCTGGGGACAGTTCTGGAAATGGGTCGTTTGAGGGAACTGGTGTTGGCCTCATTTCAACCATAGAGGTTGCCTCTGGGATTTAATACTGCAGTCTTAATTAATTCAAGTTTGCACACAATCCCAGGTTAGAGGCAGAAAATGTCTTGGAATTGCAGTTTGTTCTGATGGGGTTCCCAAACGTTTCCATGCCAAGGCCCACAAATAGCATTAATTTCAAGGATTGTCTTGAAAAACCTACTGACAATCAAATCAAAGAATAAAAAACTTTGAACTATATTTTCTTACTTTTATTAATGGCAGCCTGGTGGTAGCACTGCATTAGCAATCAACTATGGGCGTCACTTTTGAATTATGAAATTGAATGATTTTTTTGTTATTATTGTGTCTGCATTTAGCATGCCCAGCCCAAAGGGCTATACAACGACACCATTTTATAAACATAGACAGACAAAAACCCAAAAGTAGATGCTAAACAATATAACATTAACGATATAACCATTCCTGACGTTTCATCCAGGTTTAGGCTAACCTTATAAACATTAAGGTAAACAAACATTCCATCCTGAATCATCATTTACTCCAAAATCATTTCAGTGGGATTTTTGAGCAAAACAGTTCACGTCTTAGCGACAGCATGGTACTCTAGTTCATCATAGAAAGGCGCGACAGTATAAAAGAAGAATGATGTATTTCATTCTCCACTTCTCGTAAATCACAAAGTTCAACGAAAGTCTCTGTTTCCCTTCTGGGGATATTTTTTAAATCTGGGGGGGCCCAAAAAAACCCCCCCTTTGATTTTCAAATGTGCCAGGGGAAGGATTCCCATTCTTAATTTGGGG